AAGGCTAGAAAGATGTCTTTCAGGTCATCTCCCTCCCCCAGGAAACACTGCCTCTCAACTGGGCACAGGACCTTCATGAGCAGGTCAGAGATAAGAGGCCTCGCTCATCACAAGACAAATGTGACCCGACTGCAGACCCCGAGGAGCAGGAGGGGCCAGACACCCTCCCCCAGGACTGACCGGGAGCCTGGCTCTGGGGGCAGAGGCCTGAAGACTGTGTGCCCAAAGTAATTCTCCAGCCACAGCAGCAGAGGGAGGGCAGCTTCAGGTGGAGGGGAATTCGGAGGCGGGGCAGCTGAGCTGGGGGCGGGGTGCTGGAGAAGAGGAGGTGCCCAGGGAGGGAAAGTGCCGGGGGGGGGGGGGGGGCGGGAGGGGTGTCCCTCTGGTGTCTGTGCTCCAACACCAACCTGCTCACGTGTGGGTGGTGTCCGCGAGGCTCACAAAAGCACTTCTGAAGACAGAACAATTCGCAGACCCAGAGTCATTTGAGGCCCCTCCGGCCAGCCCGGCATGGAGAAACATCATGAACACAGCGTTAAACAGGGATGCCCCGGAGGGTAGACCTCAGAAGGGGGGGGGCGGGCACTCTCCCTCTAAAGGCTGCCCCAGACCCGCCCCGATGGGCTCAGAAACAGACCCCAAAAGGGTCAGCTTCCTCCGCAGGAGCTTAACTGACAGCCAGGAGAGAAACATCCTTTAAAGGAAGACGATAAAGCTCAGCATCCAACCATGAAAACATGGCAGCATCAGGCGCCCCATGAAAAACTTCCCACACATGCTCAGCAGCACGGAAACAGACGCCATAAACAGGAAGTGAATCAGCAGAGAGAAGGGAAGCGACAGACAAGACGGAATCAAAAAACAGTCATTTTAAGTATGCACCCTATGCGTGAGGGTTTTTAGAGAGTATGGTAAGAGAAATGGAAGATATTTTTTTAAAGAATTAAATCAAGATTACAGAGATGAAGAATATAAAATTGGGTACGGAAAACACTCAGCCTCAGGTGGACAGCAGCTTAGACGCCACAGAAGAGATCAGGGAACTGAAGATAAGAAATAGAAACCGTCCACAATGAAGCACGCACAGAAAAAGGCTGAAGGGAGATCACACAGACTCGCTGACCTGGTGCCCACGTCAAAAGGTCTGAAATACCACTGGAGTTGCAGGAGGCAAGGAGGGCAGAGAAAGGGAAAAAAGATATCTGAAGAAACAATACTCAGAAACTTCCTAATTTGGTTTTAAAAAATGATAAATCCACAGATCTAAGAAACTCAACAAACCCTCAACAGGGTAAACATACACCTCCTCTGCCAAGCACATCATGTTCAAGTTACAGAAAACCAGTGATGGAGGAACTTCAGAAGCCAGGAAAGGAAGGCACATTGCATCCAGAGGGGTAAAGAAGGTGTATTAGTCAAGAGACAGAAACCACACAATAACAGGAGGAAAATTCCAATGTAAGGAATTACACACAGTTACAAAAAACTAAGACTGCCCACTAAAATGTTAAGGACTTTAGTATGTGTGCTGCCTAAGCAAGCACTGAAATGTAATGAACTTTAAAAACCAGGGGAATGCGAGGTCTGGGAGTAGCCAGCCCCTCCAGGACTGAGGCAGAGGGTCCAAAAAGGAACAAGCTGGGAGAAGCGTGGCATCACAGACTGTGGGGGATGGCAGCATCCCGCAGGGAGGCAGCAGGGCAGAGGAATTCAGACCTTGTTTGCAGGGGCTCAGCTGCGACGCGCCTGCTGATGGAGCGGCCAAGGTTCTGCAGGCCAGGGCTGGTGAGCAGAGAGCCCCTGCCAGGGTTTCAGCACCTCACGTGGGCAGAGGGAGAAAGACTCCCTGGGAGCTGGGCATGGTGCCGGGCACATGTCAGGACACTTGCAGCTAGGGTGCTGTGGACGCTCACTGGCAACCCTAGTGGGGTGTCAGAGCAGCCCGTGCTTCTGGAAGGCACATCAGAGCCCAGGAAGGAAGGACTCTGGGCTCCTGCAGTACCCCCAGCCCCCAGCACCCTCCACTGATCACACCTACTGCCAGGGCATGAAGCCAAACACAGACTTTGTACACGGACGCCGAGGCCACGAGTACAGAGGAAAACAGGTACCACGGAGATGAGGCAGGGCCATCTCCAAAGAAACAAAAATTAAAGGACTAAAATGTCCACCCAGAACTATGTCCCATGGAAACACCCTTCCACAATGAAGGCCACACAGCAGTTCACCAGAGGCATTCACAGCTTTTTCCAACAAGGGGTGCTGGGGCAGGCAGATGTTCACAGTCAGAGACCACGACCTCACACCTTACATACGAACTCACTCACAATGGACCATGGGCTGAAGTGTAAAACATCAAACTGTGAAACTCCTATAAACACGATAGGAGAAAATCCTTAGGGGCCGGGGCCAGGGCAAAGGGTTCTGGACACCAAAAGTCCATCAAAGGAAAAACCTGATAAACTGGATCCCATTGATAGAAACTGTGTCTGCTGGGTGACAGACCCCACATTCGAAGGATGAAAAGAGGAATTGCACGCTGGGAGAATATGTCTGCAGACCGTATCTGCAAGGAACAATAAAGAACTCTCAAGACTCACTTAAGATAAAACTGTGACAACGCCAAATGCTGACGAGGATGCAGAAACCAGGTCAACCGTGCACTCACGGGATGTAAAATGACACAGCCACTCTGGAACATGGTACAGAGCTTTCTTACATAACTGCACGCATGCTTCAAATAACCCGAATTGCTCAGATCAACTCCCAGACCCCCACCGGGGCCAATGCTGTGGCTGGACCAGCCCTTCTGGTTTCTGTGGTCTCTGGACGCACTTCAGCAAAAACCCTGTGCGCCAGTGGTTAGGGGTCCACGTTTTCCCTGTCAAGGGCCCAGATTCAGCACCGGGCCTAGGAACTAAGATCCTACAAGCCACACAGCACGGCCAAATAAAATAAAAAAGAACAGGGAATTCTGAGGAACGGAGTTTATTATTCACAGTCCTGGAGCACACATGTGGGCCACCCAGCGAGGCCAAAAGGAGAGCAGCGTGCAAACACATGGGCCTGGGGTGCTGCCTTTACTGGGGTTGAAGGTGCCTAGGGTTTCAAGGGTTCACTCTTAACTGTCTAACTTGAGGCTTAAGAGAGGGAACTGGAGTGTGGGAAGGGCAAAAAAGGTCATTCACACAGTTCATCTGGGCTACCTGAGGCTTTCTGAAACAGAGGCCCTATATAATGTACACATTAGATTTCTAACAATTAGGATTAAAAGTAGAAAGTATAATTGCTCATAAATAGGATTTATAATGAGTATACGTGGAAATACTATTTCTGCTGAATTTGATTAAATGGACTCTATTCTCAAAATTAATTTTATCTGTTTTTAAACAGATAAACTTCTAAATCACAAATGTGGCTCAGTTGGACTTGCACTGAAATTCAGTATTTGGAGGATAAAAAGACACTACCAAAAAAATCCACTTTAAATACAAACGTATGTGTATATGGCTCTGATAAGAACAGAAGTAACTTCACTGCAGTCCCGGGAAACTCAGGTTTCCACAGCCCCTCCCGCCCCTGCCCTGCTCTCCCCACAGGCTGCTGGCGCACCTGCGGATGTCCATCTGAGCCTCCCGTGCGAGAGGCCGGGATCATACATCTCCGGGGTTGGGGCACCGGGGTTTGAGAGAGGCCCACGCCACCTATCGGGCCTCAGGGACCAGGAACATGGTGAAATCAACCAGCTCATTGATAACACAAATTTAACAGGGACTTTAAGGGGACAGACAGCCTCTCTGTGAAGGGCCGGAACATATGAATTTCAGATTGTGCAGGCACATGCCCCAACTCGGCTGCTGCAGCCCTGGAGCCGGTGCTGAGCACCCCCGATGGAGCAGGCGTGGCTGTGGCCCGATGAGATTTTACTGATGGACACCCATAGATTGAAACATTTTTCTTTTGATTTTTTTTCAACCATTTAAAAACCTAACAACTCTGCTCACCTCACAGACCACAGAAAACAGGGCAATGGGCAGGTTGTGGCCTGCAGGCCAGTCTGCTGACCCCCATCTTAGACCAAGACAGCAACAAGAGGGACTTCCAGCAGCCCAGTGGTTAGGACTCTGAGCTTCACTGCTGCAGTCTCGGGTTCAATCCCTGGTCAGGGAAGGAAGATCCCAAAAGCGGCATGGTCAAAAATAAAGACATCACCACCAACAAACAAATTTCTCCTAAAACCAAGAATTCAGAGCATATTAGGAATGAACACTCCGTATCAGGACAAAGCCATGGCACCCCACCACCCTTGAAGGTACCACCCTCTCTCCACCAACCGACTACCCTGCCCAAGTCAGATGGGGGACCGGGGCAGGGGTGGGGGGCACAGGTGTGTGTGGTGCATGCACCGTGGGGCAGGGCAGGGGGCTGGGGGTGGGGGGAAGTCCCTGATGTCCCCTGTGGGAAGCAACCCTGAGAGGTTTATAAACAGTATTGATTCTAGATCAGCGTTTAAATTAAAACAAGGCACTAAGGAACAATCTGACGCCTTCCAGATTTTGATACACCAAACGACCTATGTCCAACACCCATGAAACACCCCCCACACCAGAAAAACGTCTTTCTTCAAACCAAAAGGTAAACATCTCAATCACAAAGAGCACACTCATCATACACAGTTCTGCTCAATATATTTTGAAATCAGTTCCATGTGATGCCGCTCAATTTTCTAGAAGCTGCAGAAAAACTCTTTATTGATCAGGAATTAGCACACAGCTGGCTTTCCTGTCCTGCTGCACGTGCGCATGTGCAGAAAGTCCAGATCAAAATCGATCATACACGTCACCAGTCACCTCCCTGCAGTGAGTGAGTGTCCAGCCAGGGCACCCCAGTTCTCACACATCCGTGAACGAGCCTGTCTCCACCAACGCTGGCGACAAGCTCTCCTCGCCCCACGGGGCCTGAGCACCGGGAGCCAGTACTTACTCCTCTTGGGCTAACAGCCCATGGGGCACGTGGCCGCCTGCTGGACAGCACGGCAGACCATCCAGAAGGGCAAGCGGAGAACAGCGCAGGTATCCACCGTGCTGCTGGCAGCCTCCAGGCTGCCGACGGAAGCGTGCTGCAGGACGAGCAGGAAGGACGAGCGCCAGGCCCGCGGGCGACCACCCTCCCAGGAGAACGGAGGTGCTGGGTGTACTTACGACTCTCGAACAGCGTCTCCAGGGACGCTGACCCGCAGCACAGCTTTGGGGACAGAATGTTCTAGAGCCCATGGTCCCGTCCAGCTGCCCGGCACGGCCCCAGGGGTCCGCTGAGCCGGGATGGAGCTCACCACCGCCCAGCCCGAGGAAATCAGGGAGCTGTGGGTGGGAGGGGAGAGGGGCACCCCGAGCGCTAGGACGAGCAGCCCCGCGCCAACTCCCCGGTCTTCATCCTCTTGGTTGGCCCGCTGGGCCCGGGCGGCGGGGCCCGGCGCCGCTTCTCCAGCTGCTGCTTCAGCCGCTCCTCCTTCTTCTTCAGGTAAGTGGTCATGTTGTCGCAGGCGGCCTTGTAGAGGCTGCTGAAGCCACTGTCCACGCCGGCACAGCCTGCGCGGGAGGGGCAACGCCAGGCGTGAGGATGGACGGGGACTCAGGGCTCTGCCTCTAAGGGGGACCTGGCGGACCTTCCTGTAGCAGGGAATGAACTCGTGGACCTTGGGGCCTCCTCGGGCACTGCCCCCAGAACGCCCACCTCCTGACGGCCACGCCTGGCGGCCCTAAGGACTCACTTCTCACAGGACATGGGGTCCCGGGAGACCAGGTGCAGGGGCCGTGGCTGCATCCGGTTGGCACCCAACCCGGGGTGTCCTCTGGCCAAAGGAAAGGGGAGACACGCGGCCCCCTGTCCAGCAACCTGCAGGGACCTGAACCCTGCCAACCAAGTGGCCCGGAGGTAGGCCCCACTGAGGTTAACCTGAGACCAGGGCAGCGCTTCTCTAAGGGGACCGACCAGCCCTGCCTCACAACGCTCACCTGCCCTGAAAGGGACACACACCCCACAGGCCCCACGTCCTCACCCCAAGAAGCGGACCCTTGCTGGGTACTGTGCTCTTAGACCTGCTGAATGTGACCCAGGAAAAGCAGGCCAAGGACGAGTCCTCACCTTCCAACATGGCCCAGTTCACACGAACGTGAGCACAGACCCTCTTCAACTCGGCACTTTCAGGAACAGACTGAGGAGATGAACAGAAAACCTTTATCAGAGAGGACAGAAACCCCCAGGCTGCCGCACAGGCACGGGACAGCCTGCCCTCCACACCCCCAGGAGGCAGCAAGGCCGTCCACCCGGCCCGTCCAGCGCAGCAGTGACCAGAGCTCGTCACAAAGAGCCGGGGACGCGCGCTGCCGGCTCATCACGGGTGACACTAAGGTGCCTGGAACCCGGCAGGCACAGGCCAGGGGCAATGGCTCACCCCTGCCGTTCAGATAAAAATACCTGAACGAGCTGCTGGGCAGCCCTGAGCACTCATCAAGGACACACAAGTGTGCAAAGAGCTCTGCGAGCGTCCACTGCCCCTCACCATGGCGCCTGGTGAGCCACAGGCCAGGTGGGAAGAGACACACAGGCCCACCCAGGCCGCCTGCGAGGACGGGGCCCCTCGGCGTCCAGCGGACCCGAGGTGCAAGACTGTGCTAAGGCTGCAAGTCTGAAAGGTACCCACCCAGGACCCCCCAGCTGCAGGCTCTTCTCCTAAAGAGACGTGTGACCAGGAGTCACAGGGAAAGGGTACCAACGATAGCAACAGCCCCCAAAATGCCAGTGTAGACACGGGACACTGGGGAACCCGGCAGGCACCCCAGCTCCCTGCCCCCCCGGGACACAGCCTCTGGCATGGACGTGTTCAGGCTGAAAGGGGTCACAGCCACCTCTTCCCAGCTCGGGGCACAGCAGGGTCCAGCCCCCTTACCTGCCACTGGCCGCCCACGGGCCTGCAGAGCACAAGGGGGTCCTCCCGGCAGTCTTGCAGGACCCACAGCCCGTGGCCCTCCTCGAAGGCGGCGTCCCACACCCGGTGCTGGAAAGTCAGCAGCTGCCTTGGAACCAGCTGTCGCTGGGCAGCATCCAGCTGGAAGATGTAGACCACGGGCAGCCTGCCAGGAGAGAGGGGACAGTGAGGACAGTGCCCGTGGCCCGAGGGGCACTCGGCCCACCACCGTCTCAGCTGCCACCTCATGACTTCCTGAGCCCCGAGCACCAAGCCACTCCTGTGTCCCTGCCCCCAGGAGCTGTGAGCTCACCAAGGTTTCTGTCCCCAAGTCCTGGAGCAGCTAATTACACAGCCAGGATGAAACGGTGCAGAGGAGACAGCCACTCCACCCACTGAGCAGCACGTGGACCCCAGGCGGTGAGCTCAGCCCCCCACCCCCAGGTCAGGCAGCATTTGACCCTGTAATCCTGCGTCTTCCTTTCTAATGAGCTCAGATGCCAACCCCAGGGTGTTCATCAGGACAGGTGAGAATGTGGGAGGCACCCCAACCCCCTTCCCAGCACGTGGATGATGCTCAGGAGGGCACAGCTGGGCGGCCACGCTCCCCACGCCCACCTCGTCTGCACTGAAGCCCCCGGGGTCTCCTGTGCTGAACGGGGCCTGACTGGGGTGAACACTACCACAGCTAACCCTTAGCCAGGATTCCACCTGCACAAGAGGCCAGCCAGAGGCCACACACACACAGGCCAGTGAGGCCAGGGCTGCCTTCACATTGGCGGGTGAGCGAGATGCCGGTATACAGGAAGGAACCCGCCCCTGCCGCAGCAGCAGGGCTCGGAGTCGAGGTCACTGCAGGGCGAGGCTGAGCCAGAGACCCCTTTCTCGTCCCCCGGCCTCCTCCCACCCTCATGGGCCTGCAGGAACCAGGAGCGACGCCATGTCCACGTGGGCTCACCCATCACACGAGAGCGCTACGCAGTCCTCCTGGCTCCAGTAAGTGATCCTGGACACGGCGAACCTCTGTAAAGAAAAGCAGCAGCCTCAGTGACATCAGCTGGCCAGGACTGGATGCCGGCTGCCCTGCTCTAACTTCAGGCATCACTGCAGGACAGACAGTCCCCGTGTGTGGTCCACAGCAAGAGAGGACCCCGCAGGACTCTCCAGACCCCAGGGAGGGCACGGTTCACAGGCCACCCTGACACATGGGCCTCACGGAGCCTGGGCAGCATCTCCAAGTCAACGGAATTGGTCAAAATTGGGCAGAGAGCACATGGGGAAGAAAAGAGGGGGCTGTAACCAAGGACAGCGTGTACGTGAGCATCCACAGGTCCTGGCAGAGGACGCACCTGGGGTCAGAGCCAGCAGGAGCGGACGGGACGTGGCGGAGCCGCACGCAGCTCTCAGAGCAGGCTGGGGGGCGGCCCGGGCTCGTGCTGGTGCAGCCAGGCCCAGCGTCGGGAACCGCTCGCTCTGGTCCCCTCTGTGCCCTTCCTCTCCTCACCACCCAGAGGCATCAGGAGGTTGAGGAGGGCACGGATGTGAAGGAGGCAGCAGAACACACAGGCCTCTGTTTGCCATGGCTCCAACAGGGGCACCGTGGCGGCAGAAACCCGAGGGGGAGTCTGCACTGACAGCAGGAAACTTCTCCAATGTAAAAGGAAGTTTTTCCACAGGATCCAGCAGCTGGAGAGGCCCCGAGACAAACGTATGGGCTTACCTTGTCACTCCAGGGCTCCGCAGGCTCCTGCAGGCTGGTCAGGGGACAACAGTGTAACTCACGGCCACTTCGGTACTCCCAGAGCCTCAGGGTGCGGTCCTGCAGACACCAGAGATGGTTAGCGCCCAGTGGGGCATCCAGGCTTCACCAGGTCATGGGGACGATAACAAGGAGGCAGCGGCCAGCGCACCTCCCCCAGCTAAACGCTCTTTGCTTAGGGACAACTGTACAAAGCATCTCACAGACCAGTAAGAACACACAGGGGACCCCACTCAGCTCAATGGACAAGGACACAAGACACCCTGTCATGCTGAGGGTCAAAGACGAGGCCTGCTGTGCGTGGGCTGGGACTGCAGTGCACATACACGTGTGCACACACACGGATGAGCATGCATCCACACAGGAAGAAATACGTGAGGCTCATGGGCACTGAGAACTGTCCACGTCACTGCTCGGGAATGGGTGCAAAGAGGACGTCCATTTGTTACCCATGAGACTGTCAACTGGTATAGCCTGATGTGAGCTCCAAAAATAACATAAATGCAAAAAAGGGTTTGCCAGGAATAAGACAAGCGTGCCCATTTCTAGTCACCATAGTACTGGAAGCCCTAGCCAGAGAGCAATCAGACAAGAAGAAAAAAAGGAATCCAACTGGAAAGGAAGAAGTAAAACTGCTACTGCTTGCAGATGATGTGGTTTTATTTACAGAAAATCCTAAAGACACCAGCAAAAAACTACCAGAAATAATAAATGAATAGTTTCAGGGTACAAAATCAATGCTCAAAACTCTGTTGAGTTTCTATACACAACCCCACACATAATTGCATCAAGAATAAAACACCCAGGAATAAATTTAATCAGGGAGGTATAAGGCCTATACTCAGAAAAGTTTAAGACATTGTTGAAAGAAAACAAAGACATGAACAAATGCAAAGATATTTGTGCTCATGGACTGGAAGAGTTAACATTGTTAAAATGCCCATCATTAACTAAAACAACTGAGGATTTAATCCAACCCCTATCAAAATGCCAATGACATTTTCCACAGACATTAAACAACAACAAAAAAAAAAATCCTAAAATGTATATGAAAACCACAAAAGACCTGAAGAGCCAAAGTAATCTTGAGGAAGAATAATAAAGGGGAAGGGTGTCACACTCCCTTCACACACTGATTTTGAGCTACACTGTAAAACTACAATAATCAAAACGGTATGCTAATGGCAGAAAAAGCAGGCACACACATCAATGGGACAGAACTGAAAGCCCAGAAACAAACCCAGGCACATATGAACAACTTACAATAAAGGAACAAAGAACATACAACAGAGAAAGGACAGTCTCTTCAATAAACAGTGTGGAGAAAACAGTCATGTGCAAAAGGATAAAACTGAACCACAGTCTCACACCATGGAGGAAAATGAACTTAAAATGGATTAAAGACAAATGTAAGACCTGAAGCTGTAAGAAGAAAACACAGGCGTTATGCTCTCTGACACTGGTCTTAGCAAGATCTTTCCAAAGAAAATTCCTCAGGATAAGGAAATAAAAGCAAAAATAAATGAAACTACATCAAAAAAGCTTCTGCACAGCAAAAGAAATGACAAACAGAACCACCACCAAACAAATGGGAGAAGATATTTGCAAATCATTCATCTGATAAGTGGTTAATGTCCAAAGTAGACGAGGAACTCATACAACTCAACAACAACCACCTTTCAACCTTTAAAGATGGGAGGAGGATACAGACAGACATTTTTCTAAATAAAGACACATGGATGGCCAACATGCACAGGAAAAAGATGCCCAACATCCCCAATCATAAGGGAAATGCAGATCAAAACCACAGCACCCTATGTGAGCCATAGGGTGAGACAGCACCCATCTGCCAGAAGGGCTGACGTCGAAAAGACAACAAATGTCAAATGTCGGTGAAGATGTAGACAGAAGGGACCCCATACACCGATGGCGGGAATGTGAATTGCTACAGCCACTATGGGAAACACTATGGAGGTCTCTCAAGAAATCAGAGCTACCAAGTGATCCGGCAATTTCACTCCTGAGAAAACAAAAACACTACTTTGAAAAGATGTATGCACCCTTATGTTCACTGCTGCATTATTTACAACAGCCAAGATACAGAAGCTAAGAGCCCATCAACTGATGAAAGTGGCGCGCGCGCGCACACACACACACACACACACACACGCCCAACCATAAAAAAGGAATGAAATCTCGCCATTTGCAACAAAACCATTGACAGACCTAGAGGGTATCATGTCAAGTAAAATCAGTCTGGTGGAGAAAGACAAATGCCATATGATTTCACTCATTAAGTGGGATATAAAAAATAAACCAAACAAACACACACACACGGATACAAAGAACATAGTGGTGGTGACCAGAGGGGAAGGCGAGATGAGTGAAGGGGGTCCACTGGACTGGACTGCGATGCATGGAAACTAAACGGCTGGTGTGAGCACGCTGCAGAGTGTGCAGAAGTCAAAACAACGCTGTGCATGTGAAACTGAGGTGTTATAAACCGTTACCTCAATAAAGTAAAAAAGAGAGGGTAATGTTAAGAAATATCTGCTACAACACTCATCATAAGATGGCAGGACACAGAATGAAACATCTACAGAGAAGGGCCAGACGGGGAATGAGATGGAGCCGGGTGCACGCTGGCATCCAATGAGGCCTGGTGCCCAACTCTGACACCCGGGCACCAGACATCGAGGAAACTCTAAAGATGAGCAACACACCAGTGGGGGGTGGTGGGACACACACAGGAAAATCCCTTAAAAACCCCACACGTCACACCACCTCAGGGAGTGTAAAGGTCTGCACGCAGGATGCAAGAACGGGGCTGTGAAGAAAGCATGTTCCAAGGACAAGGGCAGAAACTAACATTCCCACAGGAAGACAGAGTAGAAAAGGGAGCAGGAACACAAGAAAAGAAACGTAAAAGGAAAGAGAATGAGACAACAGGGCCAGTGCCCGCCTGATACAGGTTCCAGGAAAAGTGGGGTGAGGGCAGCTCCAGAGGCAGGAACCCAAAACCCCCAGGTGTAGACCTGAGGTTCAGAAAGAAAGAGCCACGGACTGTGAGCAATTTTCAGGGGCCCTTCGAGCCCCCCTCACCCTGCCCCTTCGTTCTTCACACTGTGGGGTGAGAAGGCCCCCAAACACGTCCAGAGAGAAGGGTGATCGGACCCCATACAGGGGACCCAGACTCAACGGCCTCGGACTGGAAAACCAAGTGAACTGAACACCAGAGAAAACCCTGGAACTCGACCACCTGACCTGCAGGGAAACACTGGACGGAGCCCCATCTACCTGCCCGACCACCGAGAGCTGGGATGGGCAGAGGGCAGCTCCCGCGAGCTGGGCCCGAGTCCCCGCGCCTTCAGAAGCCTGCCCCACGACGTGCGCCCTCAAACGGGGGCTGTCTGCGCTTGTTACCTGTGCGGTCTGGAAGCACCGGGCAAAAGGACACAGCCGAGGTCCCCCGGGGCTGGCCTCGGTTGGGGAAGGGGGGCAGTGTTGGTTTCCATTCTAAGCCTGAGAGCAGTGGCTGGCTTTTCACATAAACACACAAGCTGCAGTTCACAGCGTGCAGGGCACACACCACACACACCATGACTGGGCCGGGGTGGCTGGTGAGGAGGTGGGGCGGCCCCCAGGACGTGATGGGGGGCAAGCAGGCCCCCAGGACGTGTGGCAGGAGGGGGGGCCGGCCCCCAGGATGTGATGGGGGGTGGGCAGGCCCCCAGGTCGTGGGGCAGGCCCCCAGGATGGCCAGTGCCAGAACTCCTGCGTTTCTTTGAAAAGGAGTAGAAGCACGATGCTGGACGTGGTAAAGCTGAGCAACCAGACCAATGGCGGTCAGTACAGTTCTCTGTGCCTGCGAGTACTTTCCTTTTATTTTAAGAGGCTTACAACAAAACCCACAGAAGCTGGCTACCACTGGGAACTCCAGCATGTTTATTTTCTTCTTTTCTCTCACAGGACCATGCATAGCTTTCCAGAACAGGACAAGAGAAGAGAAAAGTAAAGACCCAAGAGAAACCACATGTGGAGAAGGAAACAGGATGCGGTCGCCACCCGGAAGGCCTGATCGTCAGGGGTCCACGAGGCCCCCTCAGTCCTCTCCAGGCCCCTGAGTTGCAGAAAAAGCTAAAGGGGTGGAGAGGCAAAGGTGAAAGGCTGTGGGCAGAGCTTCTGAAGAGAAAGGAAGACTCAGACCCTGTTAGTAATGCAGACCTGCACATCAGCCAAGTGCTGCTTAGTCATCCCGAGAGGAAGGTGCCCCCAGTCACCCAGCTGTTAAGGCTTCGGGCCCGGCTCCCAGGACCGGGCAGCCATCCTCACTGACCACCCTTCCCCCACGGCCAAGTGCACAGCCTTCTCCACGCGCTCACACGTGACAGAAGGGTCACGGAGAAGGGCCGAGCGCATCGGCACCGGGACAGAACCAGGTCCTCCTAGGATTCAGAAAGGTCCGTCTACCAAACTCTGAGATCACGATGCTATAAGGACCGCTCTGCACAGAATCCACGCCATGCTGTTCCAGTGCAGCACACACACACATGCACGTGCACACACAGCCTGAAGCAGGGTGCGAGCCAGTCAGCTCGACAGGGAGCCATAAGCACCACTGAGTGGACGGCCACTCAACAAAGGCACACGCCGACCTCACACCACAGCTGGGAGCCGAAGACAGGCTGCTCACAGCAGGCCCGCCCCACGCGGGGTACCCACGCCCCCCCACCGGGGGTGCACGGGGGGAGCGGAGTACTCACCCCGGAGGACGACAAGAGCAGCTCGGGGTGGTTGGGCACCACGAAGATGCGGCTCACAAACCTGCAGGGGAAAAGCAGAGGGTGAGCTGGGCTGCTGTGACTCCGTCCGGCCCGTGTCCTCGGACCTGGACCCCAGGAGAAACCACGAGGAATGACAGGACTGTGTGCAGAGCGCACGTTGTCACTCCGGTCGTGCTTCCCAGGAAGGCCCCAGAGGGCCCGCCCTGCTCGGAAGCTGCCCCAGGGCACACACTTCAGTGGGTCTGAGATGCCAGGATGACATGCCGGCAGGGCGGAGGGGGAGCGGCACTACTGACCACCAGCCAGTCGCACCCACTGCGCCGCACCCCAGCAGCCCACCCCCCCACCCCAGAGACTGGCCCCGACCTGAGCTGCCTGCTGCATTCCCATCTCTAACGTGATCTAGCACTCGGGTGCCCAGGGACCCCCAGACAAGGAGGGACCTCCACGGCTCTCTACATCCACCAGTCCCCCTCCCAGCCACCTGGAGCCTCACCCTGGCCTGGGTCAGTCCTCCTCCCCATCCCGAAAGGCCCTCCAAAAGGAACAAAAGTACATGCTGAACCTGGCCTGTGTTTATCACAGCAGCGTGACCGTGACAGCGGGTATGGGCCGCCTCAACATCTCAACAGGAAACAGGCGGAAAGTGCACTTTCCAGGGCCTTAACCAAGAGTGACAACTGGTCATTTACTCACTGAAACACCCACTGAGCACCTACTGTGTGCCAGGCACTGTGCCAAGGGCTGCAGACAGCAAGGAGCAAACCTGACGGAGACCCCGCCCCCAGGAGGCAGAGGACTAGGTGGTGGGGGAGAAAGGCCCAGGCCATAAGGAGCCCCTGGGTGTCAGCACAGGCTCGGAAGAGCCCATCCAGCCCCAACGCGAGCCACCAAGCGCAGCTTACCTTTGCCGGTAACCACACCAATAAACAGACTCAGGTAAGATTAATTCTAACACTAGGTTTTTGCCTTAACTCAGCATTCTCAAAGTGTTACCATCTCAACCTGCATCAATGAACAAATGAATGACAAGCTGTTTTTACACTGCTCTTTCATACTGCCTTTGGAACCTGTGTTCACACCAATGGGACACCTCACTTCACACTTGGGTGGCTCATGGCTCTGAACCTGACAGCAAAGGCTGAGAAGAAAGAACAGCGGGCTGGGGGCAGGCATTCTCCAGGGGGGTCCTGAGAGAGCAGAGGAAAGAAGGAGGGGCCGAGCCACAAGAAGAACATGCCCAGAGGTGAGAAGCGCAAGGATAAAGGCCTTAAGGCAGAGTGTGCCCGCTGGGGCAGGGGAGGGGAGACTGGGGGCAGGGGAGGGGGGTGGGGGTGACGGGTCATAGGAGTGACTCCAGAGGATGACTACAGAATACACTCACAAACCCAGCAAGCAGCGACCTTCTTCAAGGCCAACATTTACGTTCCATTCAAAACCAATGAAACAGGAGCAAGCTCAGAACTGAACCACCCCACCAGGCTCTCCTCCACCTCGTTATAACACTTGGGCCAATTCTACTGCTGTTCCTGCCCGCAGACCATCATCAGCCATTTGCCTGAGAAGATCGACAGTCTGCAGAAACGCCTCCCTCAGGTTAACATCAAAGTCCACTCACTGAACGAACACTCGGGGGCCAGAAGACAGCTGCCTGGATGATGGAAATGACCAACGCGTGTTCCTCATCCCCTGACACCCACCCCCACTAACCATGGACCACTGCCTGGTGCTGCCAGGCCATCGACCCTGAGGAAGGATGTGCCTTCCAGAAACAAGCCGTGAGCCATGTGGAAACCACGGGTGACCCTAACTGACCAGAGCGGCTGTCAGGGGAAGGGCCTCCTGCAAGCGGCAAGGTCAGACAGCCTGCAGTGACGGCAAGCTGGGGATTGAGACCTGGACGCTACAGAGAAAACCTGATGCTACCCAGAACAACTCCAGCAAACAGGTTCTGAACGGGGAAGGAGGTTCTGAAAGTTCCAGAGGCCCTGTTACTGGGGGTGAGCTGGACTAGGGTCTCGTCAGACGGCAGGTCAGGCGCTAAGGACAGTCGCCTCCTCCCGGGGCAGGTGCCTCCCCAGCCGAGAGCCAGAGCCTCCCTCTGCAGGGGGCAGGGAGTGGGGTAGGGGACTCACTCGGTGTGCCCCAGACAGAAGGACTCGATGCTGTGCGGAGCTGCGGCCCAGCTCACCCGGATCTTCTCATCCCGGTCAGCGGTGAGGACAAAGCGGTCGTCGGGACTCACGGCCTGTGCACAAGGTGAGAAGGGGCAGACCCGGTGGTCAGCACTCTGCACCCCCCCCCACTTTCCCAGGCCTCAGCTCAGGTGTCCCCCAAGGGCCTCGGTTGTATCTGGATGCCCAGCCTTGCCCACTCCCGTCTTCCCACCAGGTCACTTTTCTCTCCTTCGTGTGTCCCTATATCCAGCCAGTCACCAGGTCCGACCCCCGCTTCCCTACAGGGCCCTACACCAGCCCAGCCGCCACCCCGCTGCAGCCCAGGCTCATGGGTCTCTCAGTGCCTGGGGGGCGGGGGGCAGCTCCTGGCTGGGGGACTGGAGGACATCTGCTCTTCCCAAACCCCTCCTCCTCGACTAGACCACCCAGCCGCCCCCAACTCGACTGCCCTCCTTCACCCCGCTTCACCTTCCGAAACCTCGCCTCCGCAGCCCCTACCTCCAGGTCGGCAGGGCTGCCCCTGCCACGGCAGAGCCCACACCCGCCCCCTCCTCACCCTGATCCCGACTGTAGCCAGTGAACCCACTGCCACGCACCACATCCAGCAGCATCGACAGGTGTCCGAGTTCAAGCCTGCCGCCCCCATGGGGCTCCAGCACCGAGAAGGAATACACATCGCCAGACTTGTCCGCCACCAGGATCCTCTCCTCAGAGGCCGTGAAGGTCAGGGCAGTGCACCTCCTCACCACGGTCCTACAAGGCCAGAGACGCCCACGGTCGGCCTACAGGGGTCAGCACCAGGGCCACCGCTGACCTGCGAGCCACCTGACCAGCAGCTCCTGCCACCTGGCAGTTACCAAAACGCTGCCAAAAACACACAGCAACTGTGAGGATGGAGACAGAGCCAGTGCCTCAGACAAATCTACTTTTATGATGTTGTTTCTTCTCAAAATGTACTAATGGTAAGGTCTGGGTGGTGAGTATCTAAGTGTCTAACCCTCTCAACTGGCCTTGTGTTTAAAGACTGTCCTGATAGAATGCTCCCTGGCCTCTTTGTACATGTGGGAGATGACAAGCCCAGTTTCCTAAACACTAAACATGTTCTGGGCCGCAATCCAAACCACAAAGGACGCCCCTGCCCTCTGGCTTCCCACCCACCCACTGCGGGCATTGCCGCCTGGACCAGGATCCTACAAGCACTGCTTGTGCCCAGCAACTGAGGACAGGAGGGTCCAACACCAAGAGCTGGTTGCGGGGGAACCGCCACCAGCGACCCTCCACTGGGGGCGCATCACAGACCCAAACCCCTGATCCATGAGAGCCATGAGGTGTGTCATGTCCACGAGCCACGAGGAACAAAACTAGGGCTGTGCCGACACAGGCCGACCACCCATTGCGCGTCCTGGGCCAGGGGCCATATTTCTTCCTGCTGTCATTTTCCATTGTTTCCACTGAGAGGTATCTTACATTAGACAGGGCCATGCCACCGCTTCATACACAAACACCTGCCATCTATCTACATATGAGGCTTCATCGCAGAAGAGCCAGCTCCGGCTCTGTCATCACCGACGGCTGGCAGGGACCTGCTGTTCCCATAAAGAGCTGATATCCGGGCTTCCCTGGTGGCCCGATGGTTAAGAATCTGCCTTGCAACCCCAGGGACATGGGTTCCATCCCTGGTCCAGGAAGATCCCACATGTCTCAGAGCAACTGAGCCTGAGCACCACCAATTGCTGAAGCCCAAATGCCTCTGGAGCTCATGCTCTGCAACAAGAAAGGACTGCAGTGACAGACTCACGCACTGCAAGCAGAGTAGCCCCCGCGCAACAGAACTAGAGAAAGCCCACGTGCAGCAGTGAAGACCCAACACAGCCAAATAATTTTTTTTTTTTAATTAAAAGAAAAACAACTGGCATCTATCCTAGCTCACAGCAGCCAGGACACCAAGTGTCAGCTTGAGATAGAAACTGAAGCTTAAAGGAGCTACATTCCCCCCACAGGGACCATCAGACCCCTGCCCGCCTCTTGGGAGAAGGATGAGGGGACCGAGAGTTGAGCGGGAGGCCCCACCTGGCCCAGGGGTGCTGCCAGGGGCTTGACAGCCACTGGACCATCTCCTCCCCTCGGTGCCAGTGCAGCCCCAAGAGGCCCCGCGAGGTGGCATAAAGCGATAAACTCGTGGAAAACAATGACAGAAAAAGGTAATTAGACTCCAGGCAGGATTAGTCAGAATCCGCACAGCTGATAAGCAGCTTCAACGAGCCCAGGCACAGCCCCAGCTGTGCACAGCACCCTAGGACCAGGACAGCCTCCAGCAGTAACGGGCTTGGGTCCCAAGAAGCTCGTCCGCCCGGGGAGGAAGTGACCCCTCCAAAGCTGATCCACTCCCCATGGCAGCCCCACATCTGCAGGACACCATACCTCCTCCGGGTCCTTCGCCAGCCAGGGGCTTCCAGCTTTTCAGGCTAAATGCATCCTGACACCAATTCCAGGATGCAGCTGAGCTGCACGGAGGGGGTTTGGAAGTTAAGGTTCAAGGGCGTCAGCTCGCAGGTGGGGGACAGGTCATCAGACAGGACTGCAGGCAGGCTGGCCATGCCACCGCAACAGGAGGAATCTTGGGGGCACCAATTTTCAGCCTCTGCAGGGACTGCAGTCTCAGCACTTTTCCTGCCTTCACAGAATCACTGGGTTCACGGCCCAGGACCCTCTTCTCAGGCCCACCCCCAGGCAACCTGGGCCCCTCTTCCTTGCCAGGGCCAGAGAAAGGGCCCACTGGAGCCAGCTCTGAGCTGCAAAGGGGCCCCACTCAAGGCCCCGGCTGGTCAAACGTGGATGAACTGGATGTCAGACGTACCAAGGGTGGGTGTTGTTCTGAGGGGGCCCATCAGATCCCAAAGGAGCTTGTGCCCCAAAGGTAAAGCGCCCCCTCCAGGATGATGTCTGCTGTCCTTGCCTCAGTGATAAAACTAACCCTGCTCCCCTTCTCCAAAAGCTTCCTAACAGAGGGAAGGCGCTGAGCTCCAAGGAAATGTATGGGAAGAGCTGAAGTTCACCCTGACCCCACCCATTACCCAGCAGTCAACAGGACAGAGGCCCTGGAGTTTGTAATCTGGTTCCTTAACATCATAAAACTACATCACCTGTCCTCTAAACCACCTACTGCAAGCACCTCCTACACGAAGTTACTCTGCTGATATCAACCTAAAAGCCAGAAGCAAACATACAAGAAAAGCACCAAGCACCTAGACCACTAAAGTCTACAGCTCACGTTATTCAGGTCTCCTATGGAGAGAACCCACGACATGGGACCTTCCCCTCAGTCCACACCCTCGGGGAGAGACCCGGGCGTTCACAGGGACCAAGAACACCCGCTCTGCCCTGGGCTCAAGGAGTCTCACCTAAACTCCCTCATTAACAAGGCCACACGCACCCCTCCTTCCCGCCTCTTCAGACTCTTATAGAACAGCCAGGGCACCCAAGAGCCCCGGATGCTCACCCTCTCGAGAGGTAGGAGCTCCGGTATCAGGACCCAGGACTGTGGCAGGTTGCATGGACACTCCTGTGCCCACGTCCAGAGTTGCTACCCGCAGACGCACACAGAAGGGACAATTCCCTCATGCGTTCGCCTTCTAGCAAGTCCAAAACTGCTGCCTAAAGAGCAAGCGCAAGCTCGGCTCCAACTTGCACTCGAGCAGCAGGCCCTATGCATGGTCCTACACCTCCCCAAGTGGTCAGTGTTCCAACGAGGGACCCAAGGGTCAAGAACCCGAACAGTGGGCACAGCCCCTGTGGTGAAGACTCTCCCTCGTCCATAGAGAGGCCGGGCCTGTGGCCTCACGGCCCCCCTAGGTGATCTCTAGGGGGACTCCAAGTTCCAGGGGCAGAAACAGATGGTGAGGAAACTGCTGCCAGGAAAAGGCAGGTGACATCCTCTCCCATAAACACGGAGCCCCAGCCTTTCAGATACTCAAGTGAGTGCACCGTCTTAAAAAACTCACCAAGTTAACACTGTGGCCCAGGTGCCTTACCTTACACAAAGCCCCCAACACTCTCAGGGACTGGAGAAACAACACTGTTTGGAAGCAGGATGGCCTGGTGGCCAGGAGTACAAACTCTGTAGTTAGAGACCAGGACACGGCCCAGCTGAGCTGAGAGACTGTTGGCCAAGTAGGGCGGGTGAAAACAATGCCCCCACCCCACTCACCGGCCTGCTATGAGACTTAAACCTGCTAATACCAGCCCAGCACTCAAAACAGCGCCTGCCACAGGGCTGGTACCACGTGTTAACTACTGACACTATGGCTACTATCACGACTGTTACTAGCATGCAAGTGTAAGTTGTACGTTCAACATCGTTAACAGTTCAACGTTAGCATTTCATACCTGACACTCAGACATTGCCATGGGTTTGTACGGAAAAGAATCAGACGCTTACTGTCATCAGTTAAAACAAAATAGCTGCCAGACTTGGAGAAGGTGGACGCCAGAACGGTGTCACTCCCCTGATCCACAGGCTGTCCGTCCTCCCTGAGAAAGACAGGAGACAGGTCAGGCCTTACCTGAGCAACTGAAGCTGTGCCATTCAGGCTGGTCCTGTGTGATTATAATGCGATCAGATGTAGGAAGTGCAATGAGGTTCGTGTAGTCAGGATACAAGACATACTGAGGGACATGGAGAAGATCAAGACCACTCTAATTTTAAGGAGTAGAGCTAATACAGAAAAGTCCCTCAGCATACACGCCAGAATCCCAAGGGCTGAGCTGGAAAGACCCTCGGATATCCTATGGACCATTCCCTCAAGGGCATGAACTGATCCACAACTAGAGGCAGGGATCAAATCATACTTTTTTTAAAAAAGGGGGTCCTAAGTCCAATTCTTCTAAAGAAAACTACCATACAGAATGACAAAACAAACCTGTGGTTACCAGAGGGGAAAAGGGGTGAGAAAGGGATATACTGGGAGATTGGGACTGACATATATACACTGCTGCTGCTGCTGCTAAGTCACCTCAGTCGTGTCCGACTCTGTGTGACCCCAGAGACGGCAGCCCACCAGGCTCTGACGTCTCTGGGATTCTCCAGGCAAGAACCCTGGAGTGGGTTGCCATTTCCTTCTCCAACACATGAAAGTGAAAAGTGAAAGTGATGTCGCTCAGTCGTGTCCGACTCTTCTCGACACCATGGACTGCAGCCTACCAGGCTCCTCAATCCATGGGATTTTCCAGCCAAGAGTACTGGAGTCAGTTGCCATTTCCTTCTCTGGACATATATACACTACTATATATAAAACAGATAACTAATAAGGACTTACTCTACTCAATACTCTGTGATGACCTATATGGGAAAAGAATCTAAAAACGAGTGGATATATACATATATATATATATGCACATAATTGATTCACTTTGTTGTACACCCGAAACACAACGTTATGTATCAACTATACTCCAATAAAAAAATTTTTTAAAGACTATACTTCTTTTTTCAATTAGCTAATTTCATACACCTGCTTTCAATGCAAATTGAAATTGCCTGTTATTTCAAAGCACCAATAAAATAGTTAACTACTGACAAACTAATTTAAAGTATTTTTAAAAGTTCTCATATTCCTAATGCCTAGTTTGAAAGTCAATAGCACATTTCTCTCTGGAGGTGGTATCTGGTTTATCCACACAGCTGGGTAACAGAAATGAAGAATTCAGCAAATAAAAAAACAATTTATTTCTTAGACTAAACAGTCCCATTACTGAAACTATCAGTCAGCCCGAAGAGGCTTCTGCACCATCTCACCCTTTATGTTCTTGTGACTTCTTTTCTGCAGCACTGCAATCATATATGAAGAGGCTGTCGTCATCACTAAAGAAAAATAACAGCAATATTTTAAATGAAGCACTTTGTTCATTACAATGTTCACTTTAAAAAAAAAAAAACCTGGATCAAAAAAATATTTGCATCCTCAGTAAGGATTTTCTCCACAAGAACTTGTCTCCATAAGATATTTCAGGGAACAGCTAAGGAGCTTTAATTTGCTGAACCTATTTGTATCTGCCATACATAACTGCCATGGTCTGTCCATAAAAATCAGTTAAGTTAAATAAATGAGGACCAAAACTCAACAGGAATATACCATTCTTTAACAACTAGAAAATCAGCACAAGATGACTATGTTACTCAGTTTTCATTTAGCCTTATGCACCCAAGTTTAAAACTTGGGGTACTTGTTTAGAAAAGCTCCAGTGCCTGCCAAGCGCTTACCAGTATAGAAGCCACCCACTTTCCCTACCAGGCCCTAAGCAGCACCCCCACCCCACCCCACCCCACCCTTCTAATTCGCAGCCTTTAAAGTGACTGTAGCCAAACTCTTTTCATATGGAGCACTGCCGCGCAGGATGAGCAGCAGCCCTCCCAGCCAGCCACTAGGTTTCCTCAAAAGGTGTGAACTGAATCAACCAGATGGAGTCTAATTTTCTCATCTTCCACTGTGGCATGTGCTATGGCTCTAAAATAAAATAACCTGGGGCAGACAACAGGTTTGTGAATAAATCTGTGAAATCTAGACTTAACATCTCAATGAATCTCTGAAACCAAACTCTGAACAAAGAACACAGCGCACATTTACATTGAACAGACACACTGTATGTTTCAAGTTTGGGAGAATCAAAACTACCCTGGGAAAGGAAATACGGGGCCGAAACTGGCCACTGCTAATATTCAAGAGGTTTCTGGATCAAGACTAGTCGACCAACAAACATAAAAATCCCGCGAACGGTAAGGGGCGAGAAATCAGAGAAAGCAAAAGGACGATCTTATAAAGGGCCACTAGGGAGAAAGCGGCTGTGGTTCTGGGGGTAACCTCCAGCAAGGACTTGTCAGGTAAGACCCTGGCCCCGAAGGGTAAACAAAGCGGGCTCAAGGGATGTGGGCGGGGATGAGGAAGCAGGCAGCGGTGCAGAGAGGGAAGCGAGTGCAGAGAGCGCGACGAACGTGGTCCCCGGGAGTAAACCCCTCTCCCCAAGAGAGGCCAAGAGCTGTCTTCCTCCCACGCCCCAGAGAAGTGCGTCCCCCGGACCCCACAGAATCCTGAAGTGTCTGGAGCGGAACCGGCAAAGAATGCCGCAGGCCCGCCGCTGAGGGCGCGGGGCCTTGGCAGGTCTTGGGAGAAGGACAGGGAGAGCGGACATTCCGAGGCGCAGGCACGCAGCCGGGCTCAAGTGGCACCGGAGAGCTCAAAGGCAGCAGCGGGGCTCCCTAGGGTCACTCCAAGGCAGGTGCAGCCCCGGCGGGGCGGGAGAACCGGAATCTCAAGACCCTGGCGCACGACCGCAACCTGGGCTTCTGCTCCAGAACGACCCCTCACCTGCTCGAGGTGGAGGTAGCCAGAAACCGGCTGCCGCCCCGCACTACCAGCGCATGCCCGCACAGCGCCAACCCCGCAGAACTCGCCATGTGCCCGCCCAACGCGCCTCCACCCACGTGCGCCGTCAAGCGCCTCTTCCGGCCGGCGCTAGAGAGTGACGTCAGCCGTAGACGCCGCGAGGTGACGTCATCCGGACTCGCTCCCGCGCGCGAGCCGGCGGCGGGCATGCGCAGAAGGTGTTCTCTCCCTTCTTTCGGCAATCAGGCGTTCGCGCCGTTTAGGGTCGGTTGCTGATCAGTTTTGTTCGGAGGGAATCCGCTTACTTGTTTAGTGTTCGTTTCTTCCTCCAGACTGCATAGAGCTAGTTCTGGATATTTCTCGCGCTATGGCTAGGCGACTTGGCCGGTCTGGTACCTACTTGGTCCTTCAAGAGCTGAGAGGGTCTGAGTTCGCATCTAGGTCCCGAACGTGGTGTCTGAGGAGGGCGTAGAGCTGAAGCCGCCGGATGGGAGCTGAGCCAGACACACCCGAAGAACAAAACTGCTGAACTGCTATTTTTCAACACAGGATAGGGCTCTTTTCCAATGTTCTTAATGCTCACGGAGTGGCAACACCAGCACCAGTGTGCTGGATGCTTTCTTGGGATTCTCCACCCCCATCTTCCACATTGGTCATCTGATCGCGGAAATCCTCCTGGACGCCCCTTCTCCCCGTGTCCATGGCCTCCGCCGCGACACAGACCAGAGAGACCCCTCTGCTCTCTGTTCTCACGTCCGCGCTTGTCCCCACCCCGACCCCCGCAGATCCACATTGCGTGCTAAAGCCAGAGAGACGTTTCAGAGCACAGTTCCAATCACCTCATCCTCCTGCTTAAAATTAACAAGTGGCTTCTCATTGTTCTCGGTACAGAAAACAAATCCTGGTCTTGCTCTATGAGACTGCATGTTGTCTGGCTCCTGCCTACCCTGGAAGCTCATTCCCTACCAGGTCTGCTTCATTCTCAGTGCTCTAGACATGACTATAGTTCAGGTTCATTGGCACAGTGATAATAGCAACCACAGGACCCTAGCACACGCTAGTCTTTTCACCTGAAACATTCTCTCCACACCCCATCTCTATGTCCCTAGTTAATTCCAGATACACAGTTTCACTTCAGTGCAGTCAACATTTAATCAAGAAAGCTTTTCCTGACTTTTCATTGTTTATATGCACTACACCCTTGATAATCTGCTTAATATCTTGTCTCTAGACTACAAATGCCACGAAAGCAGGGACTGATGCTGACTCGATTGGCAGGTTGCCAGTGCACCAGCTTGCACCACAAAATCTGGCATGAAGTCAGTGCTTGATCAATATTTGCTAAGTAAATAAATGGAACAACTAATTGTCTTATGTGTGCTAAGTTGCTAAGTTTGGTCTGACTCTTTCTGATGCCATGGACTGTAGCCAGAGAGGTTCCTCTGTCCATGGGATTTCCCAGGTAAGAATACTGGAGTGGATTGCCATTTCCTTCTCCAGAGATCTTCCTGACCCAGGGATCGAACCCACATCTCCTTCATTGCAGGCAGACTCTTTACCACTAAGCCACCAGGGAAGCCCAGTTGTCTTAAAGGATCAGCTATTTCTGCATTAAGTGAAGGAATTATGATAGGCATGAGGCATAGAAAACTATGACTGATTCAAATTCCATCTCTGGATTGATTCAAATTTGAATTTACACCCAGACTTAAAGCTGGCAAAGCAAAACACTTGAGGAAAGCCAGTCTTCCTGAAAGGCAGTAAGGTAAAAGAAGCTTGTACCCTTTCGGACCATGTTTTTTTCTGGTTATATGCCCAAGAGTAGGATTGCAGTATCATATGGTAGCTCTGTTTTTAGTTTTTTAAGGAACCTCTGTACTGTTCTCATACCCAAACTGCAACAGTGTTTACAATAGCCAAGACATGGAAGCAGCTTAAATGTCCATCAACAAAGGAATAGATAGACAAGATGTGGTACATATACACGATCGAATATTATTAAGCCATTAAAAAGAATAAAATAATGCCATTTGAAGCAACATGGATGGATCTAGACATGAGTGAAGTCAGAGAAAGATAAATATCTTATGATATCACTTATATGTGAAATCTTTTTAAAAAATGATACAAATTAACTTATACAAAACAGAACCAGGCTCCTAGACTTTGAGAACAAATTTATGGTTACCAGGCGGGAAGGGTGGGGATAGGGAACGTTAGGGAGTTTGGGTTGACATGTACACACTGCTACATTTAAAATAGATAACCAACAAGAACCTACTGTATAGCACTGGGAACTCTGCTCAATATTATATAACAACCTAAATGGGAAAGGAATTTGAAACAGAATACATACAGGTATATGTATAACAGAATCACTTTGCTGTACACCGGAAACTAAAACAACATTGTTAATCAACTATACTTCAATATAAAATTAAAAGTTTTACAAAATAAAATATTTTCTAAAAGGGGAGGGGGTGCTCGCTTCGGCAGCACATATACTAAAATTGGAACGATACAGAGAAGATTAGCATGGCCCCTGGGCAAGGATGACACGCAAACTCGTGAAGCGTTCCATATTTTTAGAGGGTGTGGAGAAAAGGGAACCCTCTTACACTGTTGGTGGGAATGCAAACTAGTACAGCCACTATGGAGAACAGTGTGGAGATTTCTTAAAAAACTGGAAATAGAACTGCCATATGACCCAGCAATACCACTTCTGGGCATACACACTGAGGAAACAAGATCTGAAAGAGACACGTGCACCCCAATGTTCATCGCAGCACTGTTTATCATAGCCAGGACATGGAAGCAACCTAGATGCCCATCAGCAGACGAATGGATAAGGAAGCTGTGGTACATATACACCATGGAATATTACTCAGCCATTAAAAAGAATTCATTTGAATCAGATCTAATGAGATGGATGAAACTGGAGCCTATTATACAGAGTGAAGTAAACCAGAAAGATAAAGAACATTACAGCATACTAACACATATATATGGAATTTAGAAAGATGGTAATGATAACCCTATATGCAAAACAGAAAAAGAGACACAGATGTACAGAACAGACTTTTGGACTCTGTGGGAGAAGGCGAGGGTGGGATGTTTTGAGAGAACAGCATCAAAACATGTATATTATCTATGGTGAAACAGATCACCAGCCCAGGTTGGATGCGTGAGACAAGTGCTCGGGCCTGGTGCACTGGGAAGACTCAGAGGGATTGGGTAGAGAGGGAGGTGGGAGGGGGGATCGGGATGGGGAATACATGTAAATCCATGGCTGATTCGTGCCAATGTATGACAAAACCCACTACAATATTGTAATTAGCCTCCAACTAATAAAAATGATAAAAAAAAAAGATTCTTAAAAAAAAAAAGGGGGGGGTCTTTCATGGAGGCAGAAGATGGAAGAGAGTCTGTGTATCACAGAACAAAGAACACAAGGGCTGGGGGAGGGGAAGAGAAGGAGAGACAGGAACAAACCAGAGAGCAACATAGAGACCATTGCAAGGGAGTTTCAGTGAGGGGTTGACTCTGGGCAGTAACCACAGGAAGCAAGAGACTTCACAGTGTTTCTGACAATGAATCTGTTATAAACATCCTTTCTATTCAGCTAACCTAGGCTGCACAGTGAAAGTCCATGGCCTGGGGTATTTTTCAGGCATGCAGATAAATTACAGTTTCTCTTCTGGGTGGGATAACAATACCAAGACCAGAGATGGCCAGCCAGTCATCACCAGGCTCACAAGCGAATTAAACTTTCCTTACAACTATGGGTTACATCTTCCTAAATGTTCTATAACACATACTCTTACAAATACAATTAAATGTCATTTTCATACTTAAACTGATCATGAAGCTTCATTATCTTCATGTTATAGGTTACAACCATTAGAAATAATTACAGTTTTATGGAGCTAGAGTATAATTGGAGACCAAAACATAAACTTAAAGAGGAATCCTGCATTATATCAAAAGACTCAGAACATGTATAAATGAAAACTTAAAGATCTGTGCCTAACCATCAGATGTGAACAAAATGTAATCATTATGATCTTTTTGAGATGATAAATCACTTGCATCACACTTTGAATTTGAATAGTATCAATACTTGTGCCAATAAGACTTCTTTTTCTCAAGATTTTTTAAGTCAAATTCCATAAACTATACCCTACTTTTTCATTTTCAATTCAGTTCAGTTGCTCAGTCATGTACAACTCTATGCGACCCCATGGACTGCAGCACGCCAGGCTTCCCTGTCCATCACCACTCCCAGGGCTTCCTCAAACTCATGTCCATTGAGTCGGTGATCCCATCCAACCATCTCATCCTCTCTCATCCCCTTCTCCTTCTGCCTTCAGTCTTTGCCAGCATCAGGGTCTTTTCTAATGAATCAATTCTTTGCATCAGGCGGCCAAAAGATTGGAGCTTCAGCTTGAGCATCAGTCCTTCCAATGAATATTCAGGACTAATTTCCTTTAGGATTGATTGGTTTGGTCTCCTTGATGTCCAAGGAACAAGCAAGAGTCTTCTTCAACACCACAGTTCAAAAGCATCAATTCTTCAGTGCTCAGCTTTCTTTATGGTCCAATTCCCACATCCACACTTGACTACTGGAAAAACCATAGCTTTGATTATATGGACCTTTATCAGCAAGGTAATGTCTGCTTTTTAATATGCTGTCTAGGTTTGTCAGAGCTTTTCTTCCAAGGAGCAAGTGTCTATTAATTTCATGGCTGCAGTTACCACCTGCAGTGATTTTGGAGCCCAAGGAAATATAGTCTCTCACTGTCTCCACTGTTTCCCCATCTATTTGCCATGAAGTGATGGGACTAGATGACATGATCTTAGTTTTCTGAATGTAGTTTTAAGTCAGTTTTTTCACTCTCCTCTTTCACTTTCATCAAGAGGCTCTTTAGTTCCTCTTCACTTTCTGCCATAAGGGTGGTGTCATCTGCATATCTGAGGTTATTGATATTACTCCCGGCAATCTTGATTCCAGGTTGCGCTTCATCCACTCTGGCATTTTGCATGATGTACTCTATATATAAAGTTAAATGAACAAGGTGACAATATACAGCCTTGATGAACTCCTTTCCCAATTTGGAAACAGTCTGTTGTTCCATGTCCAGTTCTAACTGTTGCTTCTTGACCTACATACAGGTTTCTTAGGAGGCAGGTAAGGTGGTCAGGTATTCCCATCTCTTGAAGCATTTTCCACAGTTTGTTATGATCCACACAGTCAAAAACTTTGGCAAAGTCAATGAAGCAGAGGTAGATATTTTTCTGGAATTCTCTGGCTTTTTCTATGATCCAGCGGATGTTGGCAATTTGATCTCTGGTTCCTCTGACTTTTCTAAATCCAGAACATCTGAACATTGAAGCCTCGCTTGGAGAATTTTGAGCATGACTTTATAAGTGTGTGAGATGAATGCAATTGTGCAGTAGTTTGAATATTCTTCAGCACTGCCTTTCTTGGGACTGGAATGAGATGAGCCACCATTCCTTGGGACTGGAATGAAAACTGACTTTCCCCAGTCCTGTGGCCACTGCTGAGTTTTCCAAATTTGCTGGCATATTGAGTGCAGCACTTTACAGCATCATCTTTTAGGATTTGAAATAGCTCCACTGGAATTCCATCACCTCCAATAGCTTTGTTCATAATGATGCTTCCTAAGGCCTACTTGACTTCGCACTCCAGGATGTCTGGCTCTAGGTGACTGATCACATCATCTTGGTTATGTGGGTTATTAAGATCTTTTTCATACAGTTTTTCTGTGTATCCTTGCC